GCCGGCACAACACACAGATTAATATTTCAGATTGCATGTTTTGGAGCTGACTGAGGTTAATGTGTGTGTTAGTGTGTGTGTGTGTGTGTGTGTGTGTGTGTGTGTGTGTAATCCTCCTCCATATGCCTCTTCCGCGGAATGATCCCAGCATATCTGCTGTTATTCCACATGGACTAAGTGCAGCACATCCGAACCTCTGGGCCATTGTTTGCACGTCACATAATCACGCTGCAGGTGTCTCCGATGATCTATGCTTTTTCTTCTCCTTCTTTCACTTTGGCTCCTCCGACTCATTTACACTCACACACACACACACACACACACACTCTCTCTCTTCCTGTTTTTCTGCTGTGGAAGGCAATTGTGCTGCAACCGCAGCAGAGTGTAGTAGGAGGTTAAGACTGTAAGGTCTGATGGGAGACAAGTACACACACACACACACACGGCCCGGTGCCAACACAACCTGCAAGTGGACACCGTTCACCTTCACCAACTGGGATTGTTGTGCGAACTTCTGTAAAACTGAAAAAAATGCCTCTTTGATGTGTGAAACTAAAGCAAATACCCAAAAGATTTTGGGTATACCCAAAGATTTGCCAAAAATTTTGGGGTATACCAAAATCTGAGTAAACCTAAATATTCGCCTGGGTTTACCCAGGGTTTACCCAGAAGTTTTTGGGTATACCCAAATCTGGCTATTTTGGGTATACCCAGAAGTTTTTTGGTATACCCAAATCTGGGTATACCCAAAGATTTGCCAAAAATTTTGGGGTATAGCAAAATCTGAGTAAACCTAAATATTCGCCTGGGTTTACCCAGAAGTTTTTGGGTATACCCAAATCTGGCTATTTTGGGTATACCCAGAAGTTTTTTGGTATACCCAAATCTGGGTATTTTGGGTATACCCAGAAGTTTTTTGGTATACCCAAATCTGGGTATACCCAAAGATTTGCCAAAAATTTTGGGGTATACCAAAATCTGAGTAAACCTAAATATTCGCCTGGGTTTACCCAGAAGTTTTTGGGTATACCCAAATTTTGGGTATACCCAAAGATTCGCCTCAGTTTCACACATCAAAGACACATGTGACCAATGTCATTCTGATGAGGACCACAACGACCCATCAGACTCCTAACGACTGGTTACACTTCCCTGGTTGACCCCAACGGCCCACCCAACAGGGTGGAGCTGAAGTAGCTTTATTCTTTGTCACACCCAGAGTTTATATCTGCTGTACTCTCCACCACCAGTTAGAACTGAAGAAGCCTCTTGGATGAGAGTCTTTTGTGAGAAAATTTCACGTCTAGTTGCCTAACAGAACTCTTCAACCAAGACTTTTCATGTTTCATCTGACCATGATGTATGTCAGTGATTACTAACTGGTGGCCCGCGGGCCAAATCCAGCCCGCTGAACGGTCTAATTCAGGCCATGACTGGATTCCAAAATGACCAAAAAACGTGTATATTTTCAGTGGTAAAGAAGTTGCAAATACTGGTACACAAACCTAGAGTGACCTCTAGTGTCTGTCAGTGTGAAAATAACAAACATGTGAAATTATATATTTTAATGTATAAGTCGTACCTGAGTATAAGTCACAAACCCAGACAAAGGATGAAAAAATGTGCGACTTATAGTCTGGAAAATACGGTGCGGATCTGGACCGGAGGCAGACCAGTCAAGAACATGAATGGTTATGAAGTCAGAGGTACGAGACACCAGATGATCTCTCAGGGTACACTAATGTGCCACAGACCAGTGGTTGGGAATCATTGCTCTATGTCAGGATGGCTTTTAATGATTATATCCAGGTCACGTTTTTGAACCTCGTGTTATTTGGTCATGACGCAGACTGTTTGTCCATCTGGAAAAACAAACGGCGTTTTCCCTGAGAAATTCAAGATAAAAGAAGCCTGGAGTCTGTCTGTGAAATGATCATATTAATTTATATATTTCATAAATAATAAATATGTATTTTGTTTCAAATCATTTTGAACTCCAGCTTTAGTAGACAGATACGCAGATACACCCTCCAAACAGTCTAACTGCAGTGGGGATGGGGGGTGGGGGGGCACGAAGCGGGGGATTACTGTAAATGAAATGCCGTTGATATTAACTGAGGGTACGAATCCCGCAGTGACTGTGGCTCTGGGGCTGCCGCTGGCGCTCCGTCTCACCTGGCTCTGACACAGGAATGACAATGTGCGACATCGTGCAAGTTGAAATTCAGATTCTGACTCAGCCTGCAGGACGAGGGTTCTTTTTCAAATGTGCTCAGAGTGAAACGGTTTTCATGAGTGAGACTGGATTAAAGTAGAAAAATACACACTGGCTTTGGTGCTAAATATATTACTATTAAAATTGGGTGTAACTTCCAGTTTTTTCAGATTTGAATGATTTAGACAAGTTGTTCCCAAAATGGGGGTCGGGCCCCCAAGGACGTGTGGGGCTATTTTCTGCCATGCGTCCCTCCCAGGGGACAGAAGGTTTCTCCCCCCTCTTTCCTCCCAGACCAGTGTATGAGTTGCTGGTACCAGTGTTTTACATACAATCTCCTGATTATTAAAATAGGTTAATAAAGCCTGCTCTGCTGCCCTCTAGTGACTGGAGGCTTGTTTAGCGTTCAAGCGTGAATAAAGACAGTAAACGGAAAGCCCCCTCTCGTGCCCCTGTTGACACATCACTGGACCCCGCAGGTGACACGCCCCACTGTTTGAGAAGCACTGGGCTTATATAGATTTTTTTAAATTTTGTCTATTGGTGCAACAGTGAGGAAATTAATTTGCATTTTTTTCTTTAGATTCTTTAGTTTTTTATTATTATTAATTTTTTTAAAATTATACGATTTTAAATGAAGGTTTTGTGAAGTTTAAGGTCAACATAGCTGCATAGCTAGCTTCAAGCTACATATGCAGCGTCTGGTCTTTCCTGATCGCAGACAGTGTTTGACCTCTGTGACTGATCTTGACCTTTCAAAGCAGATGTAGTGAGTGTGTGTGTGTGTGGGGGGGGGATCTGACCGTCAGTCATTTACAGCTGGAAGGTCAGACACACACGAACACGACTCTCTGAACTACAACAGAATATAATCTGTATCCATCACTGTGAACAGAGCAGGTGTGTCTTTTCCTCAGTGCCTGTGGGCGAAGGAGTTTCCTGAGAGTACTGGGTACTTCAGCTGACAGTGTAGAGAGTTGTACAACAAAAGTATCATTTACCCTCACACACTGTTGGGTATTGGTTTCTCCAGGCTATAAATACTTGCAGATGTACAGTACGTCTACTCTGTCTCAATGGATTTATTAGCAGCCTCTCTATTTGTATTTCAACGGAACCTTCCAGACCAGAGCACATACTGTAGAGTATTACTATGTACTACTGTCGTGTGTATTCGTCAGTCATGCTAGTACTATACATACCTCGAGTTTATCTTCAAGTACTCCCTCATTCACTGATGACTTTGTGCATGCGCACCACCGGGTTTGAGCTGGGTGTTGAGAGAGGGTGTGTTTTTAAGTGGAGTGTCTTTACTGCCTCCCATCGGTATAAAACGGTATTACGCGCTGGCGTCGAAGTTGTCGAAATATGACTGGCACATACAATAACTTATTATTATTTTGATCAGTACTGCATTCCACCAATATATACAGTGGACCAGTAATAGTAAAATAAAGTATTTGTCCAGTTTTTTTTAATAATTACTAGTACTATAGTAAAAGATAAAATTGTAAATAACAGTAGTTTTTCGAAGTGACTGCATGTGAGTTGAAGTCTAACGAAATATTTGGATCATTATCACTAAGTTTACAATTTACACCATTGTTAAACATTGTTTTCCTCTAAATGGGATTTGTTATTTATCCAAGTGAAGTGGTGTTTTATTGGAAAAAAGCTGAAAGTAGTAATTGGTATAAAAAAAACCCTTTTAGCTAAAATGTTCACGTATAAATTGAGAAGAAGCTGGATTCTTTTTTACTATAGAATCCAATGTATAGTTGAATGAATGTGAGCTTGTTGCCTTTGCTAATGTGAGACCTGGCTCATAAAAGACAGCATATATGATGGAGAGAAAGATTAAGTTGAGTGCACAGAGGGAGGAGGAATCTGAAATATGTTTTTATTTTCATTCAATTTCATTTTATTCCCTGTGGAAATTACGTTTATGTACGTGAGATACGTTCATTTAAGGCATCACTGACAGACATAGTTTGATAGATGGGCTAATTTAAACACATTCACTGACAGACATAGTTTGATAGATGGACTAATTCAAACACATGCAAACAGTTTTCGTGTGTTATGTTGGAGTAATTTCATGACTGAATAACGACTTCATGCTGCAGAGGCCTGGGTTCTCAGTGAAGTTCAGTATTTCCTGTATCAATTAAAAAAAAAGCGTTTGTTATTGTGGATTTAGAGACAACGAAATGATGTATTTATCTTCTGGTTGAGTTTAGAGTTATTAACCCTGCTCTCCCGTCTACCTGGGCTATTATATGAAATAAATGACATCAGTAAAATGACACTCTTACAATGAAGAAAAAGTGTGTTCTCAAATAAATGACATCAGTAAAATGACACTTTTACAATGAAGAAAAAGTGTGTTCTTCAGAACGCCACTGTTGAATAATTCATTTTGATGAAACACAGATTGAGATCAACGAACAAATGTATGTATTGACCTAGATTTTTTAAAAGTGAAACCCATCACTCAAATATGATGTAGAGAGACTTATGTATAAGTGCATTTTGTCAGACTGACAGAATAATTTTACTTCTTTTCATATCTGCCCATTTCTACTCTCATTATGCTGATGACTGACTCTTTTTCACTTTTTTCGGGTTGTCAAAAATATGACCTTTTTGCCTGAGACAGTTTTGCTATAGGGCGAACTATTTCATGTTATTATGTATTTATAGCACAAATTGACTCTGATTGGGTCGCATGCTACAATAGTGCCACCTAGTGGCAATAAATGAGACTACGCTGTGAAACAGAGCATTACATTTTCTTTTCTCCTTTTTTTTTCATTTGCAGAAAATCTTCACAAGGATTGAAATAGGCTTAGAATCAAACACATGGCCATGGGGGGAGACAGCCTACTGAACTCCACCGTGAACGGCAGCGTGACGGATGTACACCTGGTGACACACGGCCTCTGGGAGGTGATCACCATCGCCACCGTGTCCGCTATCGTCAGCCTCATCACCATTGTGGGGAACGTGCTGGTGATGCTGTCTTTCAAAGTGAACAGCCAACTGAAGACGGTGAATAATTACTACCTGCTGAGTCTGGCAGCTGCCGACCTCATCATCGGAGTTTTATCCATGAATCTGTACACATCCTACATACTGATGGGCTACTGGGCTTTGGGAAACCTCGCCTGTGACCTGTGGTTGGCGCTGGACTACGTGGCCAGTAATGCGTCCGTCATGAACTTGTTGGTGATCAGTTTCGACAGGTATTTCTCCATCACCAGGCCGCTGACGTACAGGGCCAAGAGGACTCCCAAGCGGGCGGGTATCATGATAGGTTTAGCCTGGCTGGTGTCGCTGGTTCTGTGGGCTCCACCCATTCTCTGCTGGCAGTACATCGTAGGAAAAAGGACCGTACCTGAGAAGCAGTGCCAGATCCAGTTTTTCTCCGAGCCGGTGATAACCTTCGGGACAGCCATCGCAGCGTTCTACATCCCTGTATCGGTCATGACGATCCTCTACTGTCGAATATACAAGGAGACAGAGAAGAGGACCAAGGATCTGGCCGAGCTTCAGGGGGTTAACTACGGCACAGACACCGGGGTCACGCAGCCCAGGAAGACTATTATAAGATCGTGTTTCAATTATAAGCCACGATCAACCTCACAAGACAGAAACCACGCCTCCTGGTCGTCCTCCAACAGGAGTAACGCCCCCAAGTCGGCTGCCTGCACCAACAACCAGTGGTCCAAAGCAGGGCCACAGACCAGCTTCAACAGTTACGCCTCCTCAGAGGACGAGGACAAGCCTGTGTCTCCAGGAGGCTTCCAGACCTCATTCAAGAACCAAGCCTGTGACCCCAGCAAGAGCGGGGTGGGCAGTGAGAGCGAGCGGCTCAGCAGCTTTGACGAGGACAGCTTCTTCCAGACGACGCCAAAGAGCAACTCGCAAAGAAGCAGCAAGTGCGTCTCCTACAAATTCAAACCCGTTGCCAAAGACGGCCAGAGCAGGAGCGCTGAAACCAAAATGACCATGACGACGTTTTCTTCAGCAGAATCCGTGACCGTTCCGTCCACCTCCTCCAGGACCAAACCCACAGACGCCACGCTGAAAAGCCAGATCACCAAGAGGAAGAGGATGGTACTGATCAAGGAGCGAAAGGCCGCTCAGACCCTGAGTGCCATCCTGCTGGCGTTCATCCTCACGTGGACGCCCTACAACATCATGGTGCTGATTTCCACCTTCTGCTCAGACTGCATCCCCCTCTCCCTGTGGCATCTTGGGTACTGGCTGTGCTACGTCAACAGCACGGTCAATCCCATGTGCTACGCCCTGTGTAACAAGACTTTTCAAAAGACCTTCCGCATGCTCTTACTCTGCCAGTGGAGGAAGAAAAGGATTGAGGACAAACTGTTCTGGTACGGACAAAACCCTGTGGTCGGTTCCAAAATAACAAACTGATGTTTGACGGTAAATCGTCCGGCAGTAACAAAAGGTGACGATTTACTAAAGTAGAAGAAGAAAAAAATATATGAAGAAACTGGTGCAAAAACTTTACTTTGATTTTTTTATTGATTTGTTTTTGACCAGTGACCAGTGTACATATATGGCCAGTTATACAGAAAATATATTGAAATATTGAACATTCCAGTATTACTCCAAAGACTGGTGCTTGTATACGTTAAAGGCCAACACGACCACAGCAGTATGTGCTGTCACAAATGAACGCCTGACTCATGGAAACTAATATGAGATTATTTAGAATTAAATTTTATAACCCCTTTATTACATGCTCAGAGTGAATAAGCACAGTATATATATCCAAGAATTCCACTTATCGTTGCCTCAATGCAGAGTTGATGCAAACGTTGGCTTCAACTTCAGGTCAGACTGACCTCACCGAGCACACGACAGTAAGTAATGACCATAAGTAATGACCATGCTAAAGTACATTATATTTTGCATTAGAAAACTCCCGTGGCCCTACCATCAAACTCAGTGTGAAACCTGGACCTGTTGAGTTGAACACAACACTGATACACTCACAGGAATAGAAGAAAGACACACACTAAGATCTTTAAGTGTTCTGAGTTGGTTTTAAGGCCATTTGCTGCTACTTGGTGGACGTGTATTTAGTTGTTATTCCTGTCACTGTAAAACCGACTGTTTTCAGACCAATTAAGTGAAACAGAACTATTTTACACACTTGATGATCATAGTACACTAAGGTGCTGCGCAACACTGGACTTAAAGGTGAAGACTCCACTCTCTACCTGTTCTACAAGACACTGTCAATATGCACAATACCGACCAAAACTCACCAACTCCATGAAGTTGAATCTCTGCATACGTTTCTTGACAT